AACAAAAAAAAAAAAAAAAAAAAAAAAAAAAGAAGAAGAAGAAGGCCCCAAACTATCTGGGGGAAAATTTCCCAAATACAGTAAGCTGACCATCACATCTAGCTGTCTCTCTGCTTAGGGAAGGGACACAGCAAATGAAAATAAGGCTGAGCCAAATGCTTGGAGAAGAACTTTGAAAACTCTATAAAAAGCAAACAGCTTTGACTGCTACTTCATATCCTACCTACTCTCTCTGTGAGTCCCTCCTAAAGAAAGGGCACACAAGGCTGCCTGGGAAACTACTGGAAGAGCAAACATTAGTTCCTGCCACTGGAAAGACCAAACAGATGCACAGAGGCACATGATGCATCTCCTTCCCACTGCCAGGACTCGTAGCTATGAAAGGAGAGCTTAGTAACCTCAGGACTGATGTTTTACTTAGCAACTCCCAATCTGCTAGGTAGCTAAAGGGCCCTTCTGGTTGATAACCAGACTCTGTTATTTAAAGAAGAAGCTAGAGTCACCTAAGAGCACATTTATTTACCTTCATATCCTCTCCTGGTAGCATTCCTGGACTTTTTACTTTTTAAAGCAAACATATTAATCCAGAGAAGTGTATCAGTTCATAAGAATAACATCGACTTTCTTGGCAAGTGATCCCAGATGCAAAAACAATGCCCAATTATTCTTACCACTCTACAGTGTCCCAGAGTATCAGCCTGATGCAGAAAGGTAGCTTTATTCACCCCATGCTTGCTCTCGAATCAACATTAAAGGAAATACATTATTTCTGATCAGCAGCTATCAATATGGCCATGGAAAAATGACTGGCAGGCTGATAATCACTACCTTTCTATTTGTAACATTTTATGATTTATAAGGCATATTCAATATTGATTTCAAAAGGAAGGCAGATTGTGAATGTAGTAAATAGCACTGCACTGTCACAATTTTTAAAAAAAGAAGCTAGGTGCACACCTGTAACATTAGCAGAACCTGTAACACAAAGCAGAAGAAGGATCACAAATTCAAGCCTAGCCTGTACAATTTAGACACTTAAGGAGACTGTCTCCAAAAAAAAGCGGCTGGGGGGCCAGGGATTTAGCTCAGTGGTTCCACCACCTGCCTCACAAGTGCAAGGTCCTGAGTTCGATCCCCAGTACAAAAAAGAAAAAGAGGACTGGAGATGTGGCTCAGTGCAAAGGCTTAATCCCCAGTACCACTTAAAAAAAAAAAAAAAGAAAGAAAAGCAAAGAAAAGGAAAGGAAAGGAAAGCAAAGCAAAGCAAAGTATTCTTTGTATTCTACAGAGGAGGAAATTTCTGTTCACAATCACTTGGCTTGTCTAAGGCCACACAAACATTAAATGGAAGAGCTGGACCCCAGACTTCTTTCCTTCACAGTTCACTGGTCATCAGCCCCTCGACTCTCCCCTCCGTCCTTCCCAGCTGCCCCTGGTGAATGCCTTCACTGTCCCCTCCTCCGTCTAGCTGTGGTCAGCAGTCCTAATGCAGAACCCAACCAGCATTTCAAGGGTATGACTGTAAGTCGTTAATTGCATCTGTGTGCTCATCATCACATCTGCCAAACCAAGACAGAAAGAGAAAACTGCCTCACAGAGAAAACATCTGTGGGTCTTTGCATCTGGAACACCAAGAGGAAGTTTCCAGCAAGAGTTAGGGTATCTCACTCACCGTGTATCTGGCCTTCCACACAGGCACCTGACAAGGGAGGATATTGAGGTATTTCCGAGGCTGCCGGTAATCCCAGAACTAGAAGAAAAATTGTAAGATAAATAGCATTTTGAAAATTCAAATATAGCAATATGCATAGCCTTAGAACTCACTGCTTTTTATTCTCCAAAAACACCTTTCAATAGTATATTTTTAGTTCCACCCCCATAACCGTGCTACTTAAAAAGATACAAAGAATCCTCCCTTTCCAATTTATTAACATGACAGGAGAATTTCTGGACTTCTCGGGGATCATCAATTTGAGACAGACCATTGTCAGTCAATCTGTCCGTTAAATGACCTCTGAAAGGTAAAACTGACAGGTTTTGATCCTGTATTACATTCACACCATGCAAGCAATTTTATAACAACAGTTCAAATGCCTCGACTACTTACTGCATTTTAGACATGTATTTAAAACTTAAGTTTTTAAAATCCCATTTAATCTTTAAAACAACCATGAGCAGATATTATTAATCCCTTTTTCAAATGTAGAATTGGATAGTTCCTGGTTCCTGAACTTGAGAGATAAGCTGACAGGGATGTAGGACAAACACCAACTGCAACCAACAAAGTAAAAACAAACAAAATAGCCACTGTGACTCACAAAAGTAAATGACAACTGTACCTTAAGATAGATGTTAACTTTTAAGCCTTCAGTATGACTCCAGTTTCGCTAACCATAGCAAAAAGACATTACACGTCACTATGTAAATATAATAAAGCACTGCATTAATGATACTGAACCACAAAATTGCTAAGCCAACTCCTGTGATCAAATAAATCCCTATCCTTAGGGAAAGACTGCACCGCAGAAGGAACTGTGGAGTAAAGATGACCCTACCATCACTCTGATCAGGCGGCACAAAGGACAAACAGTAACAAACACTGCAATCTGATAAGCCAAAAATAATAGTCACCAAAATGTGTAAAACCTTGAGTGTTTCCTGCAGGTTAGAGAATGCCAGCAAAACAGCTCTGTCTCTGAATTCGCAGAGCTGATGTCTGCAAGGTCGTATCTTTTGCAGACAGAATAACCATAAGAAAAGTGCTGTTTTCCCACCATCAACAGACTAATTGTAGGCCTGGTGACCTTGACAAATTTGCAGGCTCCCCTCCTTTACTTGTATCTCTCTCTGTGTGCATATCTCACTTCCCTTCAACTTCTTTGCAAGTAAACTTCTTTTCCTTTCAAAATTCTGTCTTTGACTTTCTGTCACGGAGGGAAAGAAAACCTTCTAAACACATTTACAGCCATCATTTAGCTCCACATCCTCACTCCTGTTGGTCACAATAACTAGGTTTAGTAGAGCATGGTAGTGTGCTCCTGAAATCTCAGCACTCAGGATACTGAGAAGGAGGACTGCCTTAAGGTTGAGACCAGCCTGGGCTACACAGTGCGTTCAAGGTCAGCCTGAACTACCCAATGAAGCCCTGTCTCAAACATACACAGATGCATACACACACTACAACAAAGAACCATAACCTCAGCTCCTCAAAAGGCACAAGTACCCAGGAAACACAAACCATGGTGATGTGCTGTAGCTTTCCTTCCAAGGTGCTACCACACATCCCTGACACATCTAAATCCAGCTCCTCCAATTGTCCCAGTGGGTGCCACTCACCTTGACGGAGTTGTCTTGACTGGAGGTGGCAAGAATGTGTTCACTGTCTGGGTGCCAGTCAAGGCCATGGATTTTGGAGAGGTGGGCTGCTAGATATTCCATTGCTGTGCTGGGTTTCTGCAACAGATTGCCACTGAGTTTGTCACATGAAAAACAACTTATTGAGCGTGTCCCATAAGACAGTCTGTTGGGTACTGAAGGGGATACACAAAATACTGCCAGATACTGACTCTACCCTTCAGAAACTTCACTTTGCTTTGCCTAAGCCAAACAAACCAACAAGAGACTTATCTGGCTGTCCATCTTATGATTTATAAATGGACCCAGCAGCCTAATCTCTACCCAATCCAATCTGATGCATGACTTTTAAGAGAGATATACACAGTGGGCACTTTTCATCCCTATTCCCTTTTCTCCCTATCACCTAAGAAGGGCTTGTAACATCCAAAGGGACCCAACCTCAACTCTGACAGTCTAACCATCTTACAGTGATTGAGAACTAAGATCCCAAAAGAAAACAAACACACACCAAACAAAACAAAACAGCACATATAAAAATGGACAAACTCAGAAGGAAACCTCAGAAATACACATCAAAATAAGATTTTTAAAAAAACTTTCAAGTTAGAAGGTATAAAGAATGATTCTATTGAAGCTTCATTTGTCACTGCTATTGTACATACTAAATAGTACAACTTTTTTTTCTGTGTTTTATTTATCAGTGAGGAAAGAAAACACAGCAGCAAGTTCTGTGCTGGCTTCAATATGACCAAACAGTTAGTACAACCTTTCTGGAAAAAAATTTGGCAAGATTTATTAAGAGACTTTGGCATAATCATGCATGCCTGTCTATAATCTCAGCACTTGAGAGACTGAGTCAGGAGGATCACACAAATTCAAGGCCACAATGGACTACACAGCAAGACACTGTCACAAAAAAACCCTATAAGCAAACAAACAAACAAACAAACAAAAACCCCAAAATTTTAAAACTTTTTAAAAGAAATACTCCAGGGCCAGGGATTTAGCTCAGTGGCATCGCGCCTGTTTTGCAAGAGCAAGGTCCTGGGTTCAATTCCTGGTACCAAAAAAACCAAAAAACTCCAAATTCATAAAAACACTTTATATATATCTTGGGGCTACTTGAAACACTAGAGTATAAGGAACCACCTAAACAACCAGTACATGTGGAAAAATTAATTTGCATCAATTATATATAGCTATCTAATATACTATAATGTAGTCCTTAAATTATACTTAAAGAGAGCTTATAACATGGGAGAAATGCATTGGTTGTAATTTTAAATGGAAAAAAAAGCACAAACAACTAGGCATACAACATAAGCCATACTTTTTTTTTAAAAGCAAAGGAAAACCCCCCAAAATGTTAGCATTTGTCTCTGGTAGTAGGATTATGAATGATTTTTCTTTTTCTTTTAGATTTCCCCCTACAAACAGCATGTATTACTTCTATAATTTGCATTAGTCTATGAGGTTAAGAGCATAGTCTCCAGAAGTAACCTCTCAGACTCTAGTCCCAACATCAAACTGTGCCTCAGTTTACTCATCTGTAAAACAGGACTCTGAACAGTCCCTACTGGAAAGGCTAGATAGAAACAGAAAACAATAAAAACACACAAAGTTCTTAGATGCCTATGTACAAGACACTTAGTGAGCATCAGTATTATCAGCCATGCATGAGCTGGATGGAAATCTAAGCTCACCACTGACACTGTAACCCTATGATGGTTGCTGCCATCAGTGTTGGTTTGATACTAGAAAGTGCCAGAGAAAAGAAAATACCATCAAGTTCACAAACCATCTGAAAAGAAGGCCTATGAATCAATAAAAAAAAATTAAAATTCTTTCAACAACACAGATAAAAGGCAGAGGGAAGTTAACACTATTAGTGGACCACTCAGACTAGAAAGGAATAGCTTAGCAGTATTTTTCTACAAGATAAGGAAACAGGAACTCAGAGAGTTCATGGTTAAACACCAAATTATTTTGCCTACATCTCTGAAAAGTCTCAGACATATACATAGGCAATGCAAATTAACCAAGTATATTTTATTTAAACCATTTACTATACTGAAATGCTATTATAGTGACTAACTGATTAAAGCCAAATAACAACTTAAGAAAGAGAAGGGGGAAATGGCTATTATCAGAATAACCTAAAGGGGCAGCAGACAGAAACTAAAACGTGGAAGATACAGCCATCCAACTCCTATAAATTCACCACCTGTGAATTTTCTAGGAGCCACTTAAGACAGAGACCTTCACCAGCACACCCAATCTTTGCTTCACTTCCTCCTCTCAGCGTTCCTTGCACAGCCACCAGCAACGCAGAAACTGTAGGGTCAGCACTGTGGTCACCGCACCCATGCCCTCTGCGAAGAGCGTGAGAATCTCTAGCCCCAGGTTTCACAAAGCAGGAAGCAGTTTACACTGCAGCACTTACAAATTCGACTGCTCGAGGCTTTATGCCCAACTCTGGCAGGAAGACAAGGGGGGCTCTTTCCCTGTATCATATCCTGACACCAACACACTGAAGTTCCAGTTGACTCTCCACCACACCCAGCACATGGCACTTCTGGGGCCTGCAGCACATGGACTGCTGCAATATATGATCGATCTGCAAGCTCCTGAAGCTGAGGGGATGTCTGGACTTCTAAGGGGGACTGAACATAACAAGCCCCCTCCCCAGGGATCTATTTTGGAAGTATTCAGGAATAACCCCTAACACTCTGCAAACAAGGGCAGGGAAAAGAAGCCTGCTGATCATTGTAGAAGTGCCGAGTCCCAAAAGCTTCACCTCAGCATGCATTCATCGTATTATTTTCATTTTGAAGATAAGAAAACTGAGCCACAGAGACGTTACTGAGACTTTCCCAATGTCCTCATTAGAAGGAGCAAAGAGGGACCCTAATGTAGGTGAGGCCAAGTTCATTATTTTAGCCATTGATCACAATGGCTTACTTCCCTACCTTTGTTCAACAGCAATTTGAGAAGCGAATGTCACCTGGTACTATGGGCTTAAAATGACAACTTGCTATGCTGCAGAGTTTCTGGGCCCCTCAAAACTCCTAACGCCCTGGGTCTCATGGCATCTTTTTCCACCCTCTGCGAAGGACTGAAGACCAACTACAAGGGAAAAAAGTTACTCACCCGCTTATCCCATATCCGCACATCCCCATCGTGGCTGGTGGCGAGGCAGTTAGCGTTTTTTTTATTCCATTTGACTTGGGAGGCACCAGCTGCACAGAAAAATCAGGGCAAGAGAGGTGCTGTCCCCGCTGCTTTCAGAAGCAGAGTTCAGCTCATGCAGGGGAGCTGGATAATGAGTTCTGGCTCAATAAGCACAGAAACCCTCCAGCTCCTATGACTGTACCAACTCCACCATTATAGATAAAAAGAAGTCAAGAGTGACTGAATTAACATGGGCACAGGATCAGAGTCACCTAATGGAGGAAATGATCTCCAGGAAAAACCCATAGGTACTCTGTGCAGTCAGCAGGAAAATGCAGTGTCTCGTGGGAGCAGTCACTGAGCTGTCCCGCGATCTGACCCCTCCGCATCCATCCCCACTGAGGCAGCTCTCGGGCCTGTGCCTTCCTCGCTCTCTATGGAGTTGTTGTTTCTGAGGAACAATCTTAGAAGAACGTAGCCTCCAGCTGGAGCTCAGCTGAAGAATCAGCCCCAGTATGGATCAGTCCCACCCCTCAGGACTAGTACTTTGATACACTGTGTAAGGGTCAAATGGGGGCAAATAGCATTTCATCTCTTTAAATCAGTTGTGATTTCTTTTTGTTAGGAACCGCCATACTCCTCTCTTCTAGTTCTTTATAAGATATACAATATGTAAATTGTTGTGAACTGTAGTAATGCTATTAGGCTCAAGAAACCAGAGCTCATTCCTCCATCTAACTGTATTCTGGTACCCATTATCAATCCTCTTTCTACCCTCATCATCCAGTTTACCTCATTTTTTTTTTTTGAGACAATGGGCACCTTAAATCAGAACAAAAGACGGAGATCACACTGAAAATGAATTAGCTAGAGAAAGTAAGAAGAGCTTGCTCCATCTCCTTTTTTAAATTTTTAATGGTACTGGGGATTGAACCCAGGGGCACTCTACCATCTAACATCCCCAACCCTTTTGGCTTTGCTTTTTATTGGTACCGGGGATCGAACTCAGGTCCTGTGCTTGCGAGTCTGGCAGCGGAACCACTGAGCTAAATCCCCGGCCCTTGGCTTTACTTTTTTATTTTAAGACACAGACCTGCTGAATTGTCTAGGCAGGACTCAAACTTGCAACCTTTCTGCCTCAGCCTCCTTAAGAGCTGGCCTTATGGGTCTGCACCACTGCACCCAGCTGCTCCACCTCTTCTTGACAGTTACTTCAAGAGTCCCACACAAGGGTACCTTTCCTGGTAAAGGACTCATCAGAACACAAAGCTCCCAAAAGATTCTGGGGGCCACCGATTCATTTGCTTTACTGTGACAATGATGCCAGAATCAGATAAGAGGTCCCAGGCTGTGAGAGCCGTTGGGCCAGGACATGCTCTGCAGCATGCTTTTCTGGACTTCCACTTCTGAGGGTAAAAACAGCTCACTCACTGGCAAATGGGGGCCATAGACCCTGGGGAGCAGACAGCACCCAAGGCTGCACCTCTGGGTCAGATGAAGCAACTTACAAAGGAACACAGCCTCTCATTTACCTTTTTTCTCCCAGGACAGCCCTGCCACCACTGGGAAATCTTACTGATATGCAAAGAGGAAAGTATCTCCTACTTCTATTATTTTAGAAACCTACCTATAACAGAAAAGAAAGCAATCGGAAGAAATGGGCTGAAAAAACCTGGCTTCCTTGATAGGGTTTCTCTAAAACCAATCTAACTCAGAAAGCTGCATAAATTAAGAAAGTCAGGGGAATGTGAACTAGGCATTTACAGACCACTGTGTGTTTATTCAGTTGTTTATCCACAGCAGCCAGTGATGTCAGAGATCAGCAGCACCCAAGGGAGTGAGCAGATCAACAGAACCATTGAGCGGTTGGCACAGAAGTAAGAGAGGCGCCTGATTCCCACATGTAGGAACCAACATTAAAGGGATTAAAAGTGATTGTGAAACAAGGTTTTCTTCCAAATAAATATAGCTATTATGCATCACATACACTAATTTTAAAAGGAGACAGAAAACATACATTTTTATTAGGGATTCCAAAATATTGATGATTCGGCTTCCTCATTTTAAGTTGTATCAGTCCAGGGCCCACGTTCTACCCTCAGGAAGTGGTGCGAATATTCCCTAAAACCCCTACTTGATAATTTCAAAAATAGTCAATTCTAAAGAAAGCATTCAATAGCCGGGAGTGGTGATGCACGCCTGTAACCCTAGCACTTGGGAGGCTGAGGCAGGAGGATCGCTGTGAGTTTGAGACCAGCCTGGACTACACAGTGAGTTCCAGGTCAGTCTCAACTACATAGTGAGACCCTGTCCCAAAAAACCAAAAAAAGAAAGAAAGAAGACATTCAATAAGCAATGAAAACAGGCAGATCAGAAAGTAATTTCAAGAACTGGGTTTATCCGTGTTAAATGACACTATAGGAATACAATCAGCATAACTTAGCTTGTGGGGAAAGAAAAAAAAAATCACAGGACAAATAACCTTGCTTCTTCAATAAATGAAGTTCAGGAAAAGAAAAACAAAACCAAAATGGAGAGGAAGAAACATCAACCCACCAAAACAGATGAGAAACATATCAGCCACTCACCAGTATGGAATTTATTTGTATTCTGATTCAAACAACTTATTATTTTGGAAAAATTTGAATATTGCTTAGATATATCATGATAATAAAGAACTGTTAATATTTTGGGGTATGTTAATGGTAGGGATTCTTTTTTTTTAAAGGAATCCTTCTTTGTAAAAATATATACTGAATGAGGATGGGGGTAGGATGGTGGGTAAGATAAAGATTCAGAACGTAAGGAGGGTGAGGCAGAGGATCACAGATTCAAGCCCAGCCTGGGTAACCTAGCAATTCAGTGAGACCCTGTCTCAAAAAAGAAAATAAAGGACCAGGAATTTAGCTCAGTGGTTCTGGCCCCTGCCTCACAAGCACAAAAACTCAAGTTCAATCCCTGGTACCAAAAAAAAAGGAAAAGAAAAACAAGACTGTGGATATAACTCAATGTAAAAATCATGAGTTCATTTGCAAGGCAGTTCATTTTCTTCTGTCTTTATATGCAGCTGACATTTTCCACATAAAAAGATTGCAAGCCAGTATGGCTCCTGTCCTTGAATACTCAAAAAAGTTCCTGATCCACACTCAATATCTTGGCTCCTGCGGGCGCTTAAAGTAAGACTTTCCAGCACAGGACTTCTAATTGCACCCAGCCCGGCGGAACACAGGGCACAGATGGTTTGAGTATGAGGAGGAACGGCTGGGAAGGAAAGAATGGAATGAAGTCAGTAAGCCGGGGGTGTACACACTCACCTACAGCAGATAGTGCAACCGTAGGTTTCCTTGTGTCTCTGAAATATAAAAAACAGAAGGCAAATGCCCAATTCATAAGCCTCCAGGCACCCACTGCTTTTCACGCTCTGCATACATTTCTTCACTTCCCTCTCAGTGGGAACTCAGCTAAATCTGCTGTGAGGGCCTAAAAAGCTAGGCATGATGATGTGCACCTGTAATCTCAACACTTGGGCAGCTGAGACAGGAGGGTCGCAAGGTTAAAGCTAGCTTGGGCTATATGGTGAGATCCTGTCTAAAAAAAATTTCATATATAGATATAGATGTGAACATACACAGAGATATATACAGATAAGACTTGTTTTCCTCAAGACAGATGAACTTTCTCAGCCATTTCAATTCAGGCTGAGTTTGAATTTCAAAACATTACAGCTGAAGCCACAAAAAAGCAGATTATATGATTCAGCATGGCTTGTGTAGCCCCACTGTGGAGGAAGAAAGGGCAAAAGAATCCCTTCCCAATGTCACTTCCCCTAGTGGCAATAAGGTGACAGGCAACTGCAAGAACCCTCCCAACATACTTCAACATACTTGAAAACTACTCTGGGTATTCCCAATACCCAAGAGGTAGAAGCAGCCAGTGAATGGATAACCAAAGTGCAGTGGGCCCCACAATGGAATGTCAACTCTTTTTTTAATTTTTTGGCACTGAGGACTGAACTCAGGACCTTATATTTGTGAGGCAGGCACGGCACCACTGAGCTTAATCCCCAGCCCTTGGAATGTTATTCTTAAAAAGGAAGGAAATTCTGACAGAAGCTACAATATAGATGAATCCAGAGATGATACTAAGTGAAATATGTCACAAAAATATAAATACTATCTAAACCAGACTAAAATACTCAATCTCTAAAACAGAGGTCCCACACTGTCCCACAACCACATGGTCTAAGTCTTTTTATATGTGGTCACTAGTGTGATCAAATCCATAAAATCAAGAAGCCACAGTGATGGCTGCCAGGAGCTGGGTAAAGGGGAGGCTGAGAAGTTGCTGTCTGAAGAGTAGAAGTTTTCAGTTTTGCAAGATGAAGTTTTGAAGATCTACTGCACAATAGCTACAAAACACTGCTGAGCTACCTACTTAAAAGTGGCTAAGATGAGCTAGGCATGGTGGCACATGCCTAGTATCTCCTGAGTCAGGAGGACTAAGGTGAGTTCAAGGCCAACCTGGGATAGATAGTGAATTTGAGTCCAGTCTCAACTACAGAGAGAGACTCTGTCTCAAAATGGAAAAAAAAAAAGTTTCCCTCTTCAGGTCCCCTGGATCCTGAGGTTCGACCCTGGGAGCTACCCTAAGCGCAATGGCACTGAAGTACTGCTCTGTCGGTAGTGCTTGGTCAAGTCAGCCACACACACCCGCCTGCCTCCCCAGGAGCTCTTCTCTCTTCTGTTCCTCCCCAGTACCTGGCTTCCTTCTCCCTGCAATCCCCTCCTTCCGGGAAAAAGAGCCCCATGTCATTGCCATGAGGGGAGGAAGAGGGCATCCACACACCAAGGGCAGCGCTCTTCTGGGGATGTGTGGGCCTTTCCTCCTTCCTCCAGGAGGGTGACTCAGTGAGGGGCCACTGACTTCCCTGAGAGATGGGCATGGCAGCCTCACAAAGAGCAAGAGCTGAGCAGATGTCTCAGCACTGCCCACTGAGGCAGATGCGTCTGTGCTCCCACCCAACTCCCCCAATGACATTCTCCACTTCAGTGAACCCTAGCTCGGCTTCCAAATGCCAGCACCCATGATGCTTTGCCAAGGGATTTCTGGCTTAGTAGCCTGCTGTGCAGAACTCTGACTGCTGAGGTGCTGGGAAATTCAAACCCTGAGTGTGGTCCTTGCCAATGACAATAGGGTAGCACCCCACTTCTCAGCCCTCAGAGGGACACCTCCAAGGAGGGAGCTATGCTCCAGCACCCAGGGCTCTACAGAAAGATTAAGCTCCACCTATTCACAGGGTCCCCAGGGGAGGGGCCCCTGCTGTAGGCCTGATTCTATCTTCCCCCAGCACTTCTTTCCCCTCCTAGCAATGTGTAACACTCAAATCCTTGTTTTGGTTTACATCTGGAGGAAACCAGACTTAAATACTCAATCTCTAAAACAGAGGCCCCACACTGTCCCACAACCACGTGGTCATGCCTCTCACTGTTCTTACTTGATATCCCAAATGTAGATGTAGGTGTCCACAGAGCTGGTGACCAGGAGATCTGGCTCAAACACTGCCCAGTCCAAGTCACTGTGACACAGACAAACAGGACAAACAAAACAAAGCAAAACTTCAGTTTCTGGTTTCAAAGCACTTGAAAATCTAGTCGTTGGTGGCTTCAAACATCATTGTCAGTGGGCTCGACTTACTTCAGCCTGGGGATTTGCAGAGTTCCCTGAAAATGAGCAACTGAGCTTGGAAGGAAGCTTTCAGGTCCTCCCTGTAGTTGCCAGCCAATACTACCACCTACTGCCCACAAAGAAGTGGGCATCTTAACTGAAACACAGACCCCATGGCCAGAAAATATAACAAAATAAAGGAAGAACATATAAAGTAATCTTTATCTTTTTCTAAATCGGATTTAAAGCACAGCCACCTTGGGTAAACCAATGACAAACTGCCCCGCAGCCATACCACTTGGCCCACTCACACCCTCCTCCCAGAAAGGAAGCTGCTGTGGGGTGCTCTGCACACACCAAGGGGTAAGCCTTTCCCAGCATCCTCAGGTCATCACTTGCCCTGCACCCCTGCTGCTGCTACTCTCCAGAAAAAGTGTCCCCTGACCAGAAGCAGGGACACTTCGGCAAGCCCAAGCAGCAGGCAATTGCATTTGGGGCACAGACTGAGATGCTGGAGCCCTGTGTAGTACCCAGAGCTGCAGAGAAAAAGCCAAGGGCTGCTGCTGCTTGCTGGGGTCTCTGCCATCACCTCAGGGAACACTAATTACTGCTGTTACTCAGCAAGCACAGCACAGGTTTACCACGAGAGGAGGATCCCTCTAGGGATCATGACAAAGTGAGACAGGCCAAGGAGCTGTGGAGGGCAGGTGCCTACCTGATGACGCGAGTATGGCCCTGTAGGGTGGTGCCGACTTCCCCACTGCCGTCCTTCCACTTATACAGGTCGACCCGCTGGTTACTCTGAGAAGAAACAAGGGGGAGAAGGCAGCAGGTAGAATAACATGCACAAGGAAACAAATGTTCTCCCTCCAATCTGCTTAAGAGGGAGAAGAGGAAGCCATGTAGAAGTCAACTTGCATGGCAGAAATCCTATGGTTGAATTTGAAAAAGCCACTAAAAAAGCCAATATAGTTAACATTAGCTTAAACTACCTACCCTCAGCCCACACTCAGGGTTATGAATGCCAAGATGGAAAGAGTTTTTTTTGGAGGGGCAGATTATCAGGGATTGAGCCCAGGGTCTTAAGCTTACTAAGGAAAATAGCTCATCACTGAGCTACATGCCCACCCCGTGCTTTTCTATCATTTTGTATTTGGAGACAGGGTCTCCTTAATTTGCTAGACTGGCTTCTAATTTGTGATCCTCCTGCCTCAGCCTTCTGAGTAGCTGGGATTATAGGCATGTGCTACCACATCTGGCTTGAAATGCATAAAGGTTAGTAATAGACTAAGAACAATGGCAGACCACTGAATAATTTTTGAACTGAATATATAACAGACTGATTTTCATTTTGCCTCTCACACAGACATATGTATAAAGTTCTGAGACTTTTATCCTGAAATGTGTTTCCAAATCTAAATAGGTAAGGTGCTTATGGAAAGGTTAGGATTCAAAATACAGAAAAAAATGAAGTCCAATGGAAACAAAATGAAAATTAAAGTCCCCTTATTTTATAACAACATTCCCTACCATTTCCAGAGAGTCTCCCAGTCCTTGGCTATAAACTACCAGACACTGTTAATAAATTTGACCCTTGACCTTTCCCACTACCCTGAACATGAGGAACATCATCCACGTTATACATGAGGCAGCCAAGCTCAGCAAATGAAAGGCTTGCTCAAGATAAAACAGTGTTCAGACTAGGGCCTGACCTCAGGTTTGCACAACTCTAAAGCTGTTACTCCTAAAAAAGGCTGCCTTTCAATCAAGAACAAGAAAAACGCTGCTGGGACTGGTGGTGCATATCTGTAATCCCAGCACTCAGGAGGCTGAGGCAGGAGGATTGCCATGAATTAGAGGCCAGCCTGGGCCACATAGTGAGTTCTACAATGAACTACATGGTAAGACCCTGTTTAAAGAAAAAAAGATAAATAGAACTTCATCAAAATCAAAAGTTTTGGGTATCAAAGACATTATGAAGAAACTGAAAAGACAGTAATATTTCTCCAACAAGTACACTGGAGAAAACATTTACTTGCAAATTATATAGCTGATAAAAGTCTAATAACCAGAATATATTCAAAACTCTTATATCTCAACAGCAAAGATACAAATAACACCTTTCAAAAAAGGACAAAGGAGCTGAAGTTGCAGCTCAGTAGTAGAGTGCTTGCCTAGCTTGCTCAAAGCCCTGGGTTCAATCCCTATACTGAAACACACACACACACACACACACACACACACACACACACACACACACACTCACACACACACAAGGGCAAAGGACATGAATATACATTTCTCCAAAAAAGACGGACAAATGGCCAACAGGCACATACAGGCACATACAAAGGTACTCGACATCATCATGAGCTACAGACATGTAAGTCAAAACCAAATAAGGTACCACTTCATCCCCACTGGGCATTGCTCTGGCTTAAACTTAAAAGACACACACAATGACAAACATTGGTGAGAATACGGAAAGACTGATGGGAATATAAAGAGCTGGGAGGGGTGTTACATGCTTATAATCCCAGATAGGTGGGAGGCTGAGGCAGGGATATCAGAAGTTCATACTCAGCCTGGGCAACTCAGCAAGATGTTGTCTCACAAATTAAAAAAAAAAAAAAAAGTAAAGAACTAAGGATGCAGTTCAGTGGTAGAGTGCTTGCGTAGTGTACAATAGCCTATAGGTTCAAACCCCAGTAAACACAGTATTACCTTGTGGCCCTACAATCCCACTTCTACATGTCCATCCAGAAGAAGTGAAAACAAGCACATTCATGTACATGTGCAGATCAGCACTATTCATAATGGCCAGCTAAAAGTCCACTGATGGAGAGAATATTATTCCACTACAATAGGGAATAAAGTTCTCATACCTGCTACAGTGTGGATGAACTCCAAAACATTAGGCTAAGTATAAAAGGTCAGCATTATAGCACAATTCCATATATATATATATGAAATATTCAAAATAGATAAACACAAAGAGAAAGCAGACTGGCGGTCTCTAGGAGGCAAGGGGGAGGAATGCTTAATGGCTAGGGGTTTTCCTCTGGAGTGACAGAAATACTTTGGAGCTAAATAGCACCCACAGTTACACAACATTATGTATGCAACTAAAGGACACTGAATTGTTCACTTTAAAATGATTACAGTAATTTCCCATTACCCTTGGTTTTGCTTTCTGAGCTTCAGTTATTCATGTTCATTTGTGGTGCAAAAAATATTAAATGGAAATCCTAGAAATAAGTAATTGAGGGCTGGGGATTTAGCTTAGTGGTTCCACTAAGCCTGCCTCTCAAGCTCAAAGTCCTGAGTTTGATCCCCAGTACCAAAAGAGAAAAGGGAAAAAGAAATAAGTAATTCATAGGTTTTTAAATTGTACGTTGTTCTGAAAAGCATGATCCTCTATGACACTACTGTATCCACAGGGTATATGCTACATGCGTGGTAAGTCACACAGGAGACACCACAGCTATGAGATCAATGACTGTGGTATCACAGTGCTTATGTTCAGGTAACCTTTAATTTACTCAATAACGGCTCCAAAGTAAAAAGAGTAATCATTGGGCCGGGAATTTAGCTTAGTGGTTCCGCCGCCTGCTTCGCAAGTTTAAGGTTTTAAAAACCCGAGAAAAAAAAAAAAAAAAAAAAAAAAAAAAAAAGAAAGAGTAATAACCTGGCAATTCAGACATACCAAAAAAATTATTTTTAATTTTTAAAACGTTGTAAAAGGAGGTGAGATTTTATGACTTGAAAAAAGAATTGTATGTTGAGGCTGCAAATATCTACAAACTGCTACTAATATCTCAATTTTATTTGTTTACCTTTTTTTGGTACCACAGATAGAACTCAGGACCTTGTACTTACGAGGCAGGTGGTGGCACCACTGAGCTAAATCCCCAGCCAGTTTACCTATTTATTTATTTATTATAGCACTGGTGATAAAACCCATAGGTGCTGTATCACTGAGCTACATCCTCAGGCCTTTTTATGTTTTATTTTCAGAGAGTCTCACTACGTCACCCAGGGTGGGCTCAAACTTGTGATCCTCCTGCTATAGCCTTCCAAAAACCTGAGATTATAGGTGTGCACCACTGCATCTGACTGTTGTTGATTTCTTAGTAGGCCTAATTTATCTGTTAAACTTTATCATAGGTATTTATATACCAAAAAAAAAAAATGGTGTACATATAAAGTTCAGTACCATCTGCAGTTTGTGGCATCCACCGGGGATGTTGGAATGTATTCCACATAGATAAACGTGGATCATTATAACTGTAAAAAAAAAAAAAAAAAAAAAAAAAAAAAAAAAAGCTGTCTTCCTTACCACTGTTGAGCAATGCAGTGTTAAATCATTTGGGCCAGGTACTAAGGAGTCTGCCTGAGTCAGCAGTTCCCAATCAGAGGCCACTCTGCTTTCCAGAGGACTTGTGTCAGTGTCTAGAGATATTCTGGTTGTCACAACAAGAGGGCGAGATGCAATTGAGATCCAGTAGCTTGGGACCTGCTGCTAAATATCCTGCAATGCACAGGACACACCAGACCAGGCCGAGGCTCCAGACTAACAACAAAAGTGCCAGGGTTGAAAAATTCTGAACTAAATGAGCAGAAGCTGAGGGCAAGAGAGTTATTAAAGGGCCCAGAGGTACAATCTAACAAAGACGGAATCCTTCTCAAGCACAGCAAAGAGGCTGAGAATGGAAAAGCACTACACCAACTCCCCTCCTCTTTCAGACTAGTCCTGAAAATCTGCTCAACCTCAGACATCTGTGGGTAAAGCCAGAGTCTGTTTCAGAAAAGACTGGGAAGAACAGATCTTGGTTCCTTCTCAAGCTGACAACACGGCTCTGCTTCCTTTCACTCTGGTGCTGCCCTTCCACAGAGAGCACCCTACCAAGAACAGTGTAGCCCAGGCTAGCAAGAAGTTTCTTTTAAATACTCCCCTTCAGCCCAGTGCAAAAGGAGCAAAGGGCTTAGTTCTCTAGCTGCTCTAGAAGAGAAGAATGACGAAAGAATCTGGAGAAAGATGCCTGAGATGACCTGGCCCAGAATCTTTTGGGGTCATAAATTCCTCAGAAGACTAAATAAAACTTACAGGTTTTCCCTTGAAAAATTCACTTATAGCTGGACGCGGTGGTGCATGCCTGTAATCTCAGCACTTTGGAGGCTGAGGCAGGAGGATCACTGTGAGTTCGAGACCAGCCTGGGCTACACAGTGAGTTCCAGGTCAGTCTCAACTACATAGTGAGACCCTGTCTCAAAAAACCAAAAAAAAAAAAAAAAAAAATTCACTTATAAATATTCACACTTAAAATTTGAGGTTGTTTGATTCTAACAAATCCTGATCAAAGAAAAATCCCTTCCTCTGAGCAGAAGGGTATAAGGAGTCCTCTGCTCCCTCTAGAACTGTTGAAGCCCAAGCCCAGAACAGCTGCCCGTCAGCCTCCTCAAACAGCTTTCAGGGTCCAAATGTAAGTTTTTAATACTTTTATGAATTTGACTGAAAAACTGCTTGACATGGTATATTATTTGTACTAGAAAATGACCCAAAACACCTTTTAAATTAGCACAGGGTTTTTGTTTTCTATTTTTTAGGTATCTGAAAGTTAAAGATATTTCTGTCATAAACAAAATTAGCCTGTGTTAAAACACATTCTTGGGTGCTCTATTCATTTATCTTCCATGCCCTGAAAATGCAAAGGTTAATTCAAAATGGCACGGTTTAGAATATTCAAGAAAAGAAATAACTACTTTTAACACCAGCTTTTTAAGTTTCACTGAAGGTTTTTGGCACATGAAGGTTTTAGTACATAAATGAAAGTGACAGGCCCTGGAGTTGGACCCCCAGCCAAGCAGACCTGCTACCCGCATCCACAGAAGCACAGAGATAACAGGGAGCCAGCAGCCACCCTGCCGCTTCCTACCATCCTGTTTATTGGCCAGCCCCAGACCCATCACCCGTGGGACTCCAAAATATTCCACCTTCTCGACCAGTGCCTCTCCCCTCAACTCCCCCATATCAACCGCTTGCATCCTCCTCTCAGTGCCAGCGGCCTTCTCGCACTTGGCCCATCAGCACCCAGATGGCAATAAATTCATCGCATGTTGCTTGAACTCTGCCTGCCTGGGTAGAGCATCTCAATCATGCCCCTGTCTGACCTTATAGAAAGTATTAATGAAACTTTTTAAAAGTTTCTTTCTATAAAATCTGAAATAGTCAATATCTAAATCTAAATTAGGCATAGGAGATCAATGTTAACATTGGGCATTGTGCTTTATATTTGTTATAATGTTCAAAATGCAGATAGAACATTTAATATTGGTAAATATGGTTTTATAAAAGTAAATTCTAAATTGCTAAGATTTCTTCATACATTTTATATACTGTCTCAAATCACTATAATAAACTACTTGTGTGTATTAAAAATTTCCTCTCTCCTCCAAAAGAATATCTTTCAGGGTCATCTGCCATTCAGCCACTGCTAGTTACATTGCTGCTAATGAAAACCAATTCTCAGGCTCAGGATTTAGCTCAGTGGTTCCACCGCCTGCCTTGCAAGTGTAGGGAGCCGAGTTTGATCCCCAGTACCAAAAAAAAAAAAAAAAAAAAAAAAAAAAAAAAAAGAAAACCAATCTCACTGCACACAGAAATGAAGGCATCTACCTGTTTCCTTTTCACAATCTGGATTTAGTCCCTAGAAATACAAGGCCTGACACAATGGAACCAGCAAACATACACAAACACACACACACACACACACACGGATACATAGATCTGCAACTTGCCTGTCTTTCTCGCAGAACCACTCAAACCTCTTTCCTGAGTAATGAGGATTACATTCTCTTCTCTACACAGGATACAGACCTGCCACCCTGATGACACATTTAAAAGATGACATTCCTTAAATGAACTCACCGAAGCGGCAAAATAGTGTGCAAAGCTGTCATGAGGATTCCACTGTACAGCTCCAATGTCCCATTTGCTCTGGCGAGAGATTTTCCGGTGACCTTCGAAAGGGGCATCTAGATTGACGATGTATAGGAACCTGCGGCTAGGAGAACAACGTCAACTCTATGGCAATACAGCAATACAACTACATTAGCATGAAGACAGAAAGTGCATTTGGAATTGCATACAGTTGCAAGCACTGCTCAAAAACAACCCAGATGTACATGACACTTACTACTTTGAAAGACACGCAAGTCACAAAGTACTCAAATTGGTGGAAAAACAGAGGGGAACAGAAGCCCTTTGACAGTCTCCCTCCAGAGCTGGCCCTCCCTACCACAACCACTGTGAATGTCCACTTTCCCTCTTCTAGACTTTCCTGATGCCTTAGCTAGGGTTTTCCATGCTGTGCCCATGGTCTGGTCTGTACTTCCACTGCTGCATTTACCTCTACAGCAGGACTACCAATGAATGCTAAAGCTCTTGTTCCAATTCAGCTGACTGAGACCGTCTTAAGTATCTTTGCATGTCCCACATCACTAGGCACAGTGTTGTGCTGTGCACACCAGGCACAAGTTTATGCTAAATTAAACACATTACTTATCAGTAAGCCAAAATTCTGCAAAAAGTCTCCAATTCCCCTGCAAATCTGCTCCCTGGAAACTAAATGTAATCTATCAGAAAGAGAAATAATAACCCAGGAGAAAAGAATAATAATTAAAATAACATAATAAGTGGCAATAATGTTCAAGGGGCCAACCAATATAAAGAATCTGAGCCTGTTATTCCCAGCATGTGTGAGGCTGAGGCAGGAGGACTTCAAGATTGAGCTCAGTAATTAGTGACTTATGGAGACCCTGTCTCAAAATAAAAAATTCAGGCCGGGGATTTAGCTCAGGGGTTCTGGTGCCTGCTTCACAAGCACAAAGGCCTGAGTTCGATCCCCGGTACAAAAATAATAATAATAATAATAATGTAGCTCAGTATGACCTTGGGTTCAGTACCACACACACACACAGGATCTGAAAATAAAGATGTCCTGTGTTTACCTATTTTCCTATTATCTTAAGCTACAAAAAAGATCCTTGGTATATGAATCAACATCCCTGCAGACATCTACTATTGATTCTTCATTAGAGCGCATGCTAAACATCTGGATATCAGTGGGGACAGCTAGGCTTAGAACAAGATTAATAATCCTGGTCCAGAAAAGCTAGGAAACAGCATGAAAAACTTTGATGGCAGCAAAACTCTAAAAGGAATGGTTAAGGGAGAAGAAGGATGACACACAGAATATACAATTTTACAAAACTTTTAAGAAAGCTACTGCACAACAAAGATCTTTGTTCTAGATCTCCAATGGATCAGATCACCTGCTCCTGTAGTGGGCAGCTCAGTGTGTTCCCATTAGAAAGAAAAACAACAGGATACACATACAGCTACGAGCTATGGACATGGGGTGTGTGTCGCCAGGCCTTCAGAGGTACCACACAGCAAATGTCGGTAGCACAAAATGGGCACTTTAGGATGAACATGGTTGAAAAAAACATGTACTTGTCTTCATTCTCCTTGAAATACCATTAAAATAAGAGCTTAAACAAAGAGAGAGGAAAGAAGGGAGAGAGGAAAAAAAGAGTATGGGAGAGAGAGAAAAAAAAGAAGAGGGAGGGAAGGAAGGAAGGAAGACCCACAAAAGCAAAAGAGAGAGAGAGAGAGGCTAGGAATGTAGCTCAGTGGTAGAGCACTTGCCTAACATATGTGAGGCCCTGGGTTAGATCCTTAGCACTGCCAAAAGGGAGAAAAAAGGAAATGAAAAGCAGATGGACAAATTGTAATTGACCTAGAGTAAAGAAAGCTAAATAAAGCCCAAGAGCTGGAGAGAGGATGAGACTAAGAAGCAAGCTGATTCACACTGCATGGATAAGGGATAGGGCTAGAGGACAAAAACAGAGCAGAGCAGAGCAGAACAAGAACAATCAGGAACAGCAGCTAAGGAGCTTGGTTTGTGTGCCTCCCACACAGCAAGGGGCCACCTCTCTTCAGGCAGGTGGAACGTAGGAATGTGGGACTGTAAGCTGCTGCAGTCAGAAGAGGATGACACAGCCCTCAGCCTCTTCCCCTGCTCAGTGTACAACATGCTGCCTTTTGTTCTTCAGAGACTCTTCCAGTGAAAACACAAGCCAACCAACAAGGACAAGGCAGTGAGACAAGGAAGTTGGGGCATCCAAAGATGCCTGCTTCCCACCTTATCTCCCTGTAGCGAGCCCCACCACCTGCCCACGGTGTTTACAGAGCTTTCCTATGATCTCAGTCTCTGGAGGAAACCTGAAAGATACGGACCACACAAGCAAAAGGGAAAAAGGAACTCAAAGGAAACAGAGATAACGCAGAGGAAAGAAAGAGCTTGGAATCAATATTCTCAGAGTTAAGAGAAAAGACAATGTAAAGGATAGCATATTAAAATAATAGTTGAAATTTTAAAAAATCTGGAAAGCTTCTGAAACCTTACTGCGACCCTGCCTCAAAATAAAAATTAAAAATGACTAGGGATATAACTCACTAGTAGAGTACCCCTGGGTTCAATCATGAGTGTCACAAAATAAACAAATTAATTAAAAATTTGTAACCAAAAGGATGAAAAGGCCAAAAGAGACTCCGGATAGGGAATCTAATACTGTTGTCTATAACCATACCATTCTAACACACCCAACCTTGTCTGATCTCGGCGGCTAAGCAGGGTCAGGCCTAGTTAGTACTTGGAAGGGAAATCTAATACCATTTAACAGGCTTAAAGACAATGCAGGAAAATTTCTCCCAACAAAAAGTCCTAGACTGGAACAAACACCTAGATTGGAAGGGCTTTCCAAGGTGTTAAAAAAAATTCTGTATCTTAATCTGAATGGTGATTACATAGGGTATATATTTGTAAATTTATTTCAATTTATTCATTTCAGGTTAGTGTAGTCTATAATTTTATCACACATACTCTAAAATTCAATATAAAGAAATGAAATGGAATGTCACATGCTCATGCTGAAAAGTAATACAGGTGTATATATAAGAACACACCAGAACAGGAATACCTGCATGATTTCTAGTCACATAATTTCATTTCTCCTGAAATGCTAAGGATGGCATTCTCCACATCAGTGAATGCTGGGAAATCTAACATTTGGGCCCCAGATACTCCACGACACTAAGAGTATTTTATGGGTCATTAATATACCTATATGATGCCAAGTGTACGTTATGCCTCTATTTGATTAGATGAAACAATGTCAAAAACGGAGAGGAGAGGAGTCCTTAGAGTGCAGACACAGACCAAAGCAATCACAGTAAAAATTTAACAACTCTAGAGATAAAGACAGTACTCTAATGCTTCCAAAAAGAAACCAGGTCACAAAGAGCCTAGAATCAAATGACTTCTCTTTAATAACCCTGAGAAAAAGGACCCCCAAATATAGATTCAACCCAGTAATTGTTAGATAATTATACTGGAAATAGAGTAAAGGTCAGGTAAATACGTAAGGACCTACAGAGCACAGTAAAAGTGCCAGACCCTCATCTTCTGTTGTGAGAAGTCAATTTATCACAGATAAGTCCAAATTTGGTAGTATATGCATATCATTTGGAAAAATGGAGGCAATCAGAAGGCAGAGCTAAAATGTTATGATTTAGACCATGCATATTTAGAGAGGGTCTGGAAGGGGATTGGCGCTATACTCATCAGGGGTCCACCCACTTATAAGTTTACAAGTAAATGTGCTGTTAGATGGTGAGCCCATCTGGAGGTGGGTCACTGGGGGCACAACCTGAAAGGGTGCATTCTCCCCAGCTCCTCCCTTCTCTCTGATTCCTGGCTGCCATGGGCTAAGCAGCCCACCTCTGCCAGGCCCTTCTATTATGCTGCTACTGCCCTGGAGCTGGCTCACCATGGCCTGAACCCAATGAAAGTATGAGCCAAAATAAACCTCTCCTTTAAGTTGTGGGTGTTGGGTATTTTGTCCCAGTGACAGAAAGTGACTAATACATACAATTAGGAAAAACTGAAACAATTAAAGAATTTTAAGTGATTGCTTCTGGGATCAGAGGTGGAGTGTTATGGCCTATGCCTAGACATTTCCCCAAAGCTTCATGTGGTCCTAGGTAAGGCTTTTCAGTAGTGGCTGAATCTAGAGTATGTGATACTGGGATGAAGGGTGTGTGATTACTAAATTAGTCCACTGATCAGTTTGGCATAGTTCTGGGTATAGATAATGGGAAAGCCCACTCTGGGTATGAGTGTTACCTTCCCTAAAGGCATGTAGCCTGGATAGAATATAAGAGATAATTTAAGAGACAGGCTGCTGTCTTGCTGCCTCCTGCCTTCCGCCTTCCATGCCATGAACTGTTTTTCCTCCTCTGTGATGCCCCTCTGCCATGTCACCCTGCTTCAGAGCCAGCCAATTATGGACTGAAACCTCTACAAACTACAAGCCAAAACACACCTTTCCTCCTTTAACTTTTGGTGTTGGGTATTTTGTCTCAGCAATGAGAAAGTAACTAAGAATAACAGTGAGGTGGAGACTGCTGTTTTACACCATAAACCTAGAACTACTATTCAACTTTTAAACTATGTACAGGTATTTTCTTGATGTTTAAAAAGTGCTTCAAAGGAGAGTAGGAAATAATAATGTAATACACAAAAAACTATTGAACTGTACAATTTAAATGAGTGAATTGTATGTTTTAATTATATACCAATAAAGATTTTTTTAAACAAAAAAGTGACCAGAAAACTAGAGTCAAAAGACAGAAATACCAATATTTCCTTATCTATATACATAGCATAAGAAAGTAATATCAATTAATATCTCTGGGGAGGTAGTCATAGATAGGAGGAAATTTTTTGTATAGTCATCTGAATTATTTAAATGTTTACCATGTACATATACTTTTTTTTTTTTTTTTTGGTACCAGGTATTGAACTTGGGACCTTGCACTTGAGAGGCAGGCAGCGCACCACTGAGCTAAATCCCTGGCCTCATACATGTGCTTTTTTAAAAAGGTAAATTAGCTGGATGTAATGGTACACACCTATAATCCCATCAGTGGGGAGGCTGAGGCAGAATGACTGATAGGAGTTTGAGGCCAACCTGGGCTATGTAATGAGTTCAATGCCAGCCTGAACAACATAGCAAGACCCTATCTTGATCCCCCTCAAAAAAAGTATATTAAAACAGAATTTCAAAATAAAATAATGCAGCTAATACAAAAAATACTTTCACTGATTTGCAAATTAGTTTATAAACAAAATTAAATGATCCAAAGTACTTAAAAGGATGTATGGCCCCTGTCCATTAAATTTTATTCTGGTATAATAGCAGCATCATTAGCAAAGCCAGAAAGGGATTTTAAGCACCAGAATAATGTACTTTTTGAGCTAGAAACCACTACAGAAAACTATGTAGTTCAAATCCTTTGAGCCAGAGTCTCACTATGTAGCCCAGGCTGGCCTTAAACTCACAGCAATCCTCCTGCCTCAGCTTCCCCAGTGCTGGGCATGCTCCACTATGGCTGGCTGAAATCAAATTTTTCCATGAAAGAAACAAAGTCTATTTAAGGTCAACTGAATAATTGTCCATGGGCTCATAATTTAATGAAATTGCCAAACTAGAACCCAGATCTCCTTAATCTTAGTAAGTATCTGCTTGACTACATCAGACTGCTTCTAAAGAGTCTGTGCACAAAACAGAAAATTGCAATTTCAAGACCAAACTACCAGTTGCTAAAATGTCAAAGGGATGCTATTGCATACCTGCTAGGGCAGAGACAAAAATAAACCACCAAAAAAAAAAAAAAAAAAAAAAAATCCCTGCAATTGCCCTTGCAGTCACTGTAATGTGAAATCTAAACCGTATCACCGTACCTGTTAAATATAACGATGTTTTCCAATTTCCCAGAAACTTGATTTGCAATTTGTTCCCCAAAAACTGCAGCAGACAAACTGAAAGCTCACTTACCCAGAAAGCACTGCATGCTGCCCCAGACAGTCCACAGACATGGCAGTTGCCTATGAGAGAAAACACAGATTCAGTGCTGCCAGCAGGCTCAGCCAGGGCAGAGAGGACAGACATCCTCCCTCTGGTTCTTCCTCTGCCCTTTGTCCAAGAAGTCCCCAGTTAGCAAGTACTAGTACTGTAGCTCCTTATGCTGGATAGCTTCACACCTTTCTAGTTCCCACCCAAATCTCACATCCAGACAACACAGCAGTTACATCTGCTACCCTCAATAAGGACCATGCGTGATCAAGTTGGTATACTGTAAAACGAGGAGACAAAAGTTCCAGAGCCCTCAGGGAGACTGAGTGGCACAGTGACCAGGAGCTACTATGCCCAAAGAGCATTCCCAAAGGGAAGGAGACATTGCCCCACCACCACGTGCACATGCCTGGTTCCCCCCCTCCGACACACCCATGCCTTTCCAAAGGTGCGGGACCCTCCTTAAGCCTTTCAGCATCTGGCATTATTCGAATACTCTTGCTGTTACACAAAGTTATATGTACTCTTGCATGATCTTCACACGCAATATGAAATCTCTAGCGCATTTCCCAGGTCTCTAAATTCCTGGTGAACACCATCATTTCGGGACCCAATGTCTAATTCTCAAAACACTGCACTGGGCCCAATGAATTTGTATTTAGGCTGAATTAAGAGGCTCGTTTTAATTTTGGCAGTTACAGTCCTGAATTTTCTTATTTGGATAAGTTCAAATCCTGTGTCATTCTTGTGGCTTTAACATGAAACAGTTTGTGCCACTCACTGTCTGGGACCTCAGTGCTAAAATTCTTCCCAACAGAGCACTGACAGAATTCACTTTGTATGCTTTGCCACAATCACAATCACACACAGTAAAAAGAAATCCTCTCCCTCACCCTCACGGCCTTACTAAAGCGTTTTTATACTTGTCCACCCACCCTCAAGAAACATGTCAAAGGTAATACTGGGGACAAGAAGCCAGAGCGCTCTCACAGGAGGCTGAACAGTGATTAATATGCATCCTTCATGAAACTGAAGTCACGAGCAGAGAAAAGCCCAGCTGGAAAGGCAGGCCGTGAAATGAGATGCCATTTCCAGAACTCAGCTGTGCAATTTATAGATTAACGCTATAAAGGAGGGCAAGATGGGGGTGGGCGTTATGGTGCATGCCTGTAATCCCAGCACTTTGTGAGGCTGAAGCAAAGGGTTGCAAGTTCAAATCTATCCTGGGCAACTTAGTGAAACCTGTCTCAAAAGAAAAAATATATTTAAAAGGGCTGGAATACAGCTCAGTGCAAACACCCTAGGTTCAATGCCCAGCACCACAAATGAAGAAGAAAGGAGAAGGAAGGAAGGAAGGGAGGGAGGGAAGAAGGGAGGAATCTTAGTGGTGTCCTGCCTGCCTGGCAAGCTCAAGGTCCTGAGTTCAATTTTCATACCAGAAAAAATTTTTAAAAAGAAAGAAGAAAAGAAATGGTTTCTCTAAAGAGGCAGTATAACGTCTCTAGATGGCAGCTGGTAAGCAGAACCCTAAAATGGGCTCAAAGATTCTGCGCCTTTGGAGTACACATACCTTTCCCTGCCATTCAACCCTAATAAAGACAAATTGAGGCCGGGGATTTAGCTCAGTGGTGCAGCCACCTGCCTTACATGTGCAAGGTTCCAAGTTCGATCCCCGGTACCAAAAACAAAGACAAATCTAGGTACTGCTACACAGGAATCTCACTGATGTAATTAAGACCACACATTAACTGGCTTAAGCTAGAGAAACCTGAAACAGCACAGCTGCCGGTCAATAGAGGGAAGGTACACAAAATGCGGTGTAGATGAACAATGGAATTTCACTCAGCCTTTAAAAGGAAAGAAATTCTACAAGTGTTCTGACACAAATGAACCTTAACATGGTATGTAAAGTAAAACACACTGGACAAAAAAAGACAAATATTGCCTGCCTCCACCTAAAGTAGCCAAGTTTACAGATACAGAAAGTAGAATTGAAGTTGTCAGAGGTTGGGTAGAGGGAGCAGAGAATATAGAGTTACTGTCTGATTGGTAATTGTTTTTTAAAAATTAATTTTACTAATTGTTTTTAAAAAATTAACTTTACCTTTTTTTTTTTTTTTTTTTTTTTTTTTTGGTACCAGGGATCGAACTCAGGACCTTGTGCTTTTGAGGCAGGCAGTGGAACCACTGACCTAAATCCCCAGCCCCCGCCAAAATTAATTTTATTGGTACATTTTAGATATACATAATGTTTTTTTTCTCTTGTTTTCCTCATTGAGTGTATTGGTATATTTTAGGTATACAGTACAGGTACATTCAGTATTGGGATCTTGTACCTTTACATGACAAGTCTTGGTTCTCATTTTTTCCCCTTGTTCCTGCCCTCCCTTCACCCCTCCTCCCTCTCCCTTTACAAACACTTCATTTCCATTATCTCATATTTTTTTCTTTTCCCTTATTAGCTTTCCCCTACCCTTTCCACTTTCCCTACACCTTTAGCCCCTATGTTAACATTCATTATATGGAATTTGTCTGTACATGAGATATCTTTTTTTCTTATGGGATGGGGTTCAAACTCCGGACCTTGTGTTTGCAAAGCAGGTGGTGGAACCACTGAGCTAAATCCCGGGTCCTACTGCTATATCTTGATTCTTCTTTCTTCCCCCTTTCAACCCCTCCTTTCAACTCCTCTTCCCCCTCCCTATTTACAAAAGCTTTGTGGGCTGGGGATGTAGCTCAGTGGTTCTGCCACCTGCCTTGCAGGCTCAAAGACCCGAGTTGGATCCCTGGAACCAAAAAAAAAAAAAAAAAAAAAAAAAGCTTTGGATCCACTTTTCCTTCTAGTCTTTTTTCCTCTTCTCTTTTTTCCTCTCCCCTTTTTATCTCCCCTTCTTATTTGAACAATTTCTTCCTATTTCACAATATCTATTATACATTTTAGTCCTTATTTACACTTTTGCTTTCTCACATCAGAGAAACCACCGGATATCTGAACATGTGTGTCCGATTTATTTTAAGAGTATGGGAGAGATCTAATCTTATCAACCACTTAAATCTAGGTCTAGAAGTAAAAACTGGGGAGATTGAGGGATTCATCATGAAAGATTTCACACTGCTATCTTCAGGACTAGGAAACACATGGCCTGGGTCTGCATGGCCTCCAGGGGTGGGGAGCAAGCCCTCAGCCAGTGGTAACAACACAGCAAGAAACAGCTCAGTCCTACAACTCCAGGGAACTGGAATTAGTCAATAACCAGGAAGTAGATTCTTCCTAAAGGAAACCTCTAGGAGAGAACACAGCTGGGTGCTGCTGCCTTGATTCAGGACTGTGAGACACCAAACTAAGGACCAGCTGAGCAGTGTCTAGACTTCTGACCTACAGAACAGTGAGCTAATAATGGGTGTACTTTCAGGATGCTAAGCTTATGGCATACAATGATAGAGTACTAATAAAGCTTGATCTGGCAGTGGCCCAAAAAAGTCATGACCTTTGATTAAGTAATTCCAACTCCAGAATCTAAGTAAAATGCAACAAAAATTGAAGGCACAAAGCTGCTTATTTCATGCTACCTATAAGCAAATTATGTATAACTATATACAAGATGGAATGTCCTGGAAGCATTTTTTAAATGACATGAGGGCTGGGGATTTAGCTCAATGGTTCTGGCACCTGCCTTGCAAGCACAAGGCCCTGAGTTCAATGTTAAAAAAAAAAAAAAAAAAAAAAAAAAAAACGATATGAACTGGGCATGGTGGTGCAGGCCTATAATCCCAGCATTCTGGGAGGTTGTGGCAGGAGGATCACAAGTTCAAGTCCAGCCTGTTTTAGTGACTCAGCAAGACCTTGACTCAAAAATAAAAAGTAAAAAAAGGCTGGTGAAGTCATGCAGTGTTGAAGGCCCTGGGTCGAATATCCAGTACCATCAAAAATAAAACAACCTGGGCAGGGGATTTAGCTTAGCAGTTCGGTGGCCTGCCTTGCAAGCGCAAGGACCTGAGTTCAATCCCCGGTACCAAAAAAAATAAAATAAAATAAATAAAACAACCTGACCAGGGAGAGGCTGGTGACTTGTGAGGACAGAGTCACCATCCAAGGCCTCACACTCCCAGAGCACCAGATGGGGAAGGCTGAGATGCTAAGAGGTAGGAGCAATGGGATTGTAGGATTCCTGTCTGGTCCCACACCAAGAGAAGAAGGCAAACTATATCACAGTGACTAAGAGAGAATTTCCTTTAATCAGTAGGAAAGAGCATGCTGCAGCTTACAGAGAGTAAATGAAAGTTGTATTGCATACCCTACCACAGACTAAAACTTAAATTGGCTACTTATAAATATATTCTTAGCTGGGTATGATGGTGTACACTTGTACAGCTACTGAGAAGGCTGAAGCAGAAGAATGGCAAATTTGAGGCCAGCCCAGGCAACTTAGCAAGACCCTGTCTCAAAATAAAAGATAAAAAGGTGCCAGGCATGGTGGTACATGCCTGTAATCATGACACTTAGGAAGCTCAGGCAGGAGGATCACCACAAGTTCAAGGCCAGCCTGAACTACCTAGCTAGACTCTGTCTCAAAAAACTAACAAACTAAATAAGTAAGTAAATAGGTCCAGGGGTACAGCTTAGAGGTAGAGTTTGATCCTCTGAGTTTGATCCCTAGTACTGGGGGTTGGGGGAGATCACGTCTTTTAAAAAAATTTTTACTTTTATTAATACATGTTTACACTACATAATGATTACATTCATTGTAGGGAATTGTTACATGCATATAACATATCTCAAGTCTTTGTCACCCCCTTTTTTTCTACTCTCTCCATCCCTTGGGAGAAGGGACACTACTACTACTACTACTACTACTACTACTACTACTACTACTGCTACTTCTCAGGTATACAATAAAAAATGATCCAGCAAACACTGCCTTTGACTCATGGATTGTTAAGATGAGTGCTTTCTAGTAATAATTATACTTGATATCATGGCAGAATCAGAACTAATGATCAATCCCTAAGCCCCTAGCTTCCACGCTATGCC